TGAAAAACACTGGACTACCAGGAAATTAGACTAGTCTAGACTGGGAAATTGGGGGGGGGGCACCAGGAAGGCAACAACAGGAAACCACTTCTCTATTTTATCCAGAAACCTCCATGGATATGACCATAACAGGATTTTGAGCTCGACTTATGGGAGATCTTTCATTTCCATTGAAGAAGAGAAAAGTGAGAAACTAAACTGAAATGAGACAATCCCCCCCTCCTTTTTTATAAATGTTCAACAAAATCAACTAATAAACTTTTGCTGGACTGGACTATTTTGGTGGAGGAGGGGAAGAGAGATTGTCCAGTATGTGGAACGCATCCCTCTATGGAAAAAGAGCTCCCTACGCAGAGAGTAAAAATAGCTTGTGTGCAAACATGCTTGTTTTAAATCTGCAGGAAGGGACGTGAGTTCAGCAATACATGAAAAGTGAATTTGGCCACATAATCCTTCCAGCTTCAGCTTTAGGCCCAGGAGAAGCTTGATCAATTGACCCATTCATCTAAATGCAGAAAGTGGTCCCTTTGGGGGGGGGCAGCTAGCAGAGCCAGGAGAATCACTCGTGCTGGACTCAGCTTGTGTGGGAGGGAGTCAGAAGGCAAAGAAACTAATATTGTGTGCCCTACAGCCTTTCCTTTCTTCAAAACAAGAGCCCGTGTTAAAAATCAGAAGGAAAGCTCATGCCTTTTAGTAAAGTTTGTTCATCTGAAAAGGTGCTAGCAGAGTCCTTCTGATTTTTGGATAAATAGACTAACCTAGTTCCTCCTACCATGTTAAACTTAGTTTCTGAGAAGAATCGTCACTCTGTGTGTTTGTAAGTGCATTTTAATGATTGCTTTAGAAAAATCCAATTCTGATATTTTAGCCATGGGGGGAGTGGGAAGGGTCCCTTTTGTTAGACTGCCAAGGATTTTCCAGCAACATCAAGATCAATTTGAAAGAGAAGCGATGGTTGAAAGGCCACCAGGAAGAACATGGATCCTCACTACAGGTAGCTCATGCCAGTGAACGTGCAGTCCGCATCAGAGTCCAGTAGATGACCATACAGCTGCTCCAGTTATCAAATGGGCTGATAATACATATCTTTGCAAATAGTAAACATCATCTAAACAGAAAAACAGGAGGTCCCCCACAACACAATAAGGAGATTGCAAGCTGGATCCTACATCCTCTTAAGCCCGCCTCCCACAACTGGGAATTGAAACCAATACCTTCCCAATGTATTGGTTTCAATTCCCAGAATTCCTAGCCAACACATCCTTTGCTGAAATCCCTATCCGGAGGTCAAGGCCTCCCCACGGAAAGTGGCATCAGTGGTGTGATGACATCATCCCACAAAGACAATACAAATGACATCAGTTGCATGAATGACATGATGCATGTGACCTCATCATAGCCTGTGCCAGAGACCTATGCTGGGGCCACCTGAATTGGAGGTTGTATTAAGCCTGAATGAGTTTTATCTGAGTCTGATGTAGTGTTTATCCAATCAATCCTAGGTAAGGCAACTATGGCTTGTGTTTAGTTTTGTGAAGTCATTCTGTGATATTGGGCCCATATTCTTGTTTGGACCACGGTCCAGGCACTACCAAACAGACAAGTCCTTGCAGTTCTTCTTAGGGGCTGGAGGGGGTAACTCACCAAACAGCAGCTGCCTTCCAGCTGTGGGCTGTCCTCTGGAGGCCCTTTAAAATCAGGTCTGTCCTCTGCAAAATATGGCATGTGGACATCGTGGCCTCCAAGGCTACCCTGCAATTTTGCATCCAGCCACACCTGTATGTGGGAAGCACCGGGAACAGTTTCCTCCACCTGTTCATCGGACAAAGCAGATGATTTATCTCCCTGCAAGTCTACCTGGGAAATGGGGAAGTGACTTTTATCTCCTCTGTTACAAACAGTTGGGAGTCTTGCATCAGAAGCTACACCAGAAAAGTGCCTAACTCTTCTCTGGAAGAAGGGGGGCTGTGTTAGCCTTGGGCAGGTATGTTGGGCTCCACCAGCAGAAACAGGGCCAACCCAGCTCTCCACCTCCGATGCCAAGAACTGTATGGCACCTTTAAGACTCATTTATTATCACATGCCTCTTTGTGGATCAGGGCTCCTCCAAGTACAACCCATAGTATGAGGAAGGACTTTTAAGCTCACCTGCTTTATAATGGGGAGGAAAGGGTACCTGGAGAGCTGAGAAAGAGGAGGACCACAAATGAGGGCAATCAGATGCAGTACGACATTCTTGTTATTAATGAGCTCAGATGGCAGAGGGGCAAAAGCAGCATACAAATTTAATAAACATTTCTGATTTCTCTGCATTTCATGGGGGCCTGGGGGTTCAGAAGCAAGATGGGGGCCTTAAGCACTGTAGATGCTTTAAGATCCCCATTTTACCTCTTAACCCACCCCTGGACTGGCCCCCTTTGTGACTGTGAAGACCTGAAATGAAGGGAAACTCCAGCCCCCTGCCCTACGGAACAACAACACACGTCTACCTGAAGGCCCTGCTTTCCAGAAAGGGCCCACAAGATTGCATCACAAAATAGATTTGTTTCATCAGATCCAAGCCAGATCAGATGTCATGGTTGCATCAGTCTTCTGGGTTGACCCTTCCACCCACATCGGCTTGGAGCATCTTCCAGGAGGGTGTGGGCCACAGGTATGGACTTCATCAGTCTCACCTCTTGATGTTAAAACAGCAATGACAAGCATTTTAATTAATTAATGTTAATGCTGAGACTAGAAGAGATGCCTTGGAGAGGACCAAAGAGCTGGAAAGTCTTTTTGATTCTGATACGATCGTTTTAGATTCTTTAAAAACTCCCAGTTATTTAAAAAGAAAGTTGTACCAAAGCGGCACTTCTGTGTTTGAAAACAAGGACTTCCAAACACTTTTTTTAAAAAAAGAACTAGCAAAACCCACTCAAAGATCACATGAACCAGGGATTCTGTGCCAGCAACAGCCTAACGTGGGCTGGCTTCATGCATCTGACTCCTTTCCAGGGTGGCGGGAAATGAGATGTAGGCGTGCCAGGTTCTCCCTGTCATTTTGGATGATCTACAATGGTGCAAGTGGGCCTGCCTGCCTTATTTCACTGGAGTGACATGGTCTCTGCTGATGCAAGCGCTCCGCCCAGGCTGAGATACACTCTGAGAACCAGTTTGGTGTAGTGGGGAAGGTGCTGGATTAGAAAGCAGGAGACCACAAGTTTGGATCGTCCCTTAGGTACAAAAGCCACCTGTGTGACTTGGGGCCAGTCACTCTCAGCCCTACTCACTTCACAGGGTGGTTGTTGTGGGGAAAATGGGAAGAAGAAACATGTGGAGTCCTGACTAGCAGTCAGAAGACATGATGAAAAATTCCTTAATCTCACAACACATGGACAGACTCGACCATAGTTTTC